CAGATTTTAATAGTTACATTTTTTTCTGCACGAAAGAAAGCAAAATAATATGAGAACACTGAATGAACCACAGATTCGGCCGCTACATTAAAGGGCGTAATAATTAAAAAAAAAGAAAAAGAGACGCTATGTAGAATGGAATGCACGATAACGTGGCTTATAAATTTGGATGTTATAAAAGAACTGTTTTTACTGTAATATATTCGAACAAAGGGAATTTTACTAAAGTTTTTGAAATGCAGAAGAGTTATACTAATAACTATGTGCGGTAAAATCCGTTCCTTTTTTTATTTAATACGAGAAGCGTTCGTTGACTCATTGGGCAGAACACCTTTCTATAGTATTCACAGCGCAGGAGAAGTAAAATTTTCATCCACTTCGTCACTGACCTTTCGGCTACCAAAGAACCCTGAAAAGTCGTTCGGAATGGTTTCTTTGGATAGAGTTCATTGACCCTTTAAGAGCGGGCGAGTTCTTCAGTATGATCTTAAGAATTACTAAACAGAATATAAAAAGAGAAAAATAAAAATAAATTTGAGAAATTTGTTTAAATGTAAGATCTAAAATTTTTATATATATTATTTTATATATTATTATATTATTTATTATTATTATTATTTATTATTATATTATATTATTATTATTATATTATTTGTTATTATATTATTATTATATTATATTATTATTATTATATTATTTATTATTATATTATTATTATTATTATATATATATACAGAAAAAGTTTAAAAGGATTATCAATTTACTACGACTATTTAAGGAAGAAAGAATATAAGAATATATATATATATATCATAATAAATTATATTATATAAGTTATGTATGCAACCGTGTATCACTTTTCTAAAAAATCGTCGGTTCTCTTGTTTCTCAATTCAATAAATAATTCCAATATTCCGTCACTTTTTATGCGACGGTTTACCATTCCAGGATATAAAATAAATTGTAAAAATATTGAAAATCCTACAACTAAAAATAAGCCGGTTCTTAAATCCACACAATGAAAAGCGTAGAATTACGAATTTGTTGTCATTAACACTCGACCGTCGAGTAGATCGTGCCTGCTTGTCCACCCACGTACTCGATCGTAACAGATGTTGTATAACAGTTATCGGAAAACCAAAATACCGTTCGTGTAAGCGAGCGCTTTACTACGGAAGTTTTTGCATGTGTGATATAGTCTCTGAAGCGAGGCCGTTCATTCATTCATTTGGTCGAACCAGGTCTGCTGGATCCGAATTATTGGAACATTAGCTTGATTTAAGCGAGCTGGGCTCGGCCTGATCGCGCAGGATCAATTTCGTGCATGTATGCATCCGATAGCGTCGCGAACGTGCGTCAATTTTTTCTCAACGTAATGCAACACCAACAAGGCTCTAGAAATTGCGCTAACATTAAAAAGAAAAAAAAGTCGGTAACGCATTCAATTCTCTTGTGGTCGGTAAAATGTTTAATTGAGTTTGGGACGTTGCACTCTGCAATAATATTTTATTATTATTATTATATTATAATATATATATACTATAATATATAATAAATTATATAATATATTATAATATATAATAAATTATATAATATATTATAATATATATATTATATTATTGTATTATTATTTTATATATTATTATATGATATATATTATATTATATATTATTATATTATTATATTATTAGAACGTTAC